GTATTATATTCAATTGTAATAAACACGCCCTTCTTTTCACTTAAATGAAATTTTTTTATTGTTTATTATCTAAATGATAAAAGTGCGTTGACATAAGTTTAAAATTTCTTGTAAACTTGTTTTACAAAACCGTTCAGTTTGACGTCAATCGATTTCTTTATTGTTATAAATAGAACTCGAAGATAAAAAATAATTTTTATTATTTCTTGGTTCTTCTTATAAAATTAGAACTTTTGTAAAATAATCTGTGGTCGTTTGAATAAACAAATGTGTTGAAATTGTGCATAATAGATGCATAACGCATAATATTCTTACCCCGTTGTTTCAGCAATAATTATTAAGCAATTTGCTCTTGTGTTTATTCTTTTTATCAACTTTTCATTGAAATAATTGTTAGTAATTATAATTTATGTTCCTACGTAAGTGCATTGGCAATAAGTGCACTATCGTTCTTAAATTAACTGATTACGTATTGCATCAATATTTGTTAAACGTCTTCATGCTTATATTTATACATATAACTTTATCCATATGCTGATGAGATTGATTTGTTAATAACAAAGGTTGAAATTGCGTCTAAATTTATTTACAACTAGCCTAGACCCGCGACTTCGCCTGATTGTAATTATTTCTAATTATTTATGAGAAATGCCAAACAGACAGACAAATAGACAAAATAATTTATATTTAATAACATTTTAATAAGTTTTGAAGTTAAGAAAAATCAGTTATTTCAATATTACTTAGAGGTAGACACATCAAGTTTATTTATATGACGACGTGTGATGTATTTAGAAAAAGCTCCAAATGGTTTCTAAAATTCCGTGCTAGTTTTTCGAGTTACTTTTTTTTTGTACATTTTTACACACATTATTTTGTGTTCTATCTAGTTTTATCAGTAGGTAGTGTTTTCACCAAGATTTCTACCGTTTAATACTCATGTTAGATGTAACTTCACGAACTTTTCAGAAATGGACCATAAAATTCTAGATACTTTGCAATTTTATTAGTTACGCAATATATTCTGTGGTTAACTGTTAAAAATTCGGTTTAGTTTAATGGGCATAATAATGCGTTTGTCGTTAGTTAGTTGTAAATACTTTATGAAATAAAACATCGATTAAATAAGTAAAGCAAAGGAAATACGAGATGATTTAATAAAATTTATGTTACAATAGGAATTTTAGAGATGTAGGGTACAGTAGTAATAATATAAGAAACGAGACAGGGGTCATTTTGATAGAAAATTAAGAAAAAGGCAGATAGATGGAAAGAATATTTAAAAAAAAAAAACCTATACGCAGGCCATGAGTTAGGAGATATACTACAGATGGAAGATGGTGTGGAGATCAGTGAGCCAGGTTATCTCATAATGAGAAAAGAGTTCGATGTAGCATTAAAAAAACTTAAATAATAAGGCGCCAGGTACAGATGGGATACAGGCAGAAATTCTAAAACATGCAAGACAAGAGATTAGAGATCGTGTGTTTAAGCTAGTTAGACATATTTACGAGATGGGGAAAGTCCCAGAAGATTATAAACGGAACGTGGTAGTAATCATACCTAAAAGATGAGGCGCGGATAGGTGCGAGACATTCGGAACAATTAGCTTAACTTCCCATGCGTCAAAAATCTTACCTAGACTTGTACAGAGGAGGATGGAAAAAAGGGCGGAAGAACTATTAGGGGAAGATCAATATGGGTTTAGAAGAAATAGAGGAACGCGAGAGGTTATTCTAGCTTTACGGGTAATAATAGACAAAACGATAGAAAAAGGAAAGAGTGCGTTCATAGGATATTTGTAGATTTAGAAAAGGTTTTTGACAATGTTAAATGGGACATGATGTTTAATATACTAAAAAATGTAGGGATGAATTACAGAGATAGAAGAGTGATACTTAGTTTGTATAAAGAGCAACAGGCAGTTATAGAGATGGGGCTGCAACGTAGAGAAGTAAATATTAGGAAGAGAGTCAGACAGGGGTGCACACTGTCACCGTTACTTTTTAAATCTATACATCGAAGACGCGATCAACATCATTAAAGAGCGCACAACTGTAGGGATAGATGATATACTGGGGCAAAAGATTAATATGCTTTGATTTGCAGATGATATAGCACTATTAGCATTTAGCAAGGAGTTAGAGATAGCTTTAAATAAAANGAGTTTTTTAACCACAGACCTTTTGACATTTTGTATTTAAGCCATTTCTATGCCGTGTGCAATGCCTGCTTCACAGGACAAATGCACAATTGATAAGCGACAAAATCTACTATCTTTCGGCGACGCTTTGATTTGCAGATGATATAGCACTATTAGCATTTAGCAAGGAGTTAGAGATAGCTTTAAATAAAACGGAAGCGGTATTGACCAAAACAGTACTGTATAAAAATAAATAAAAGTAAAACAAAAAGAAAAAGTAGGTAAAGAGCGAATATAAAGAATAGAAGAAATGCTTACATTATTTTTTAAAATTATGAAATAAATATACCGGATAGTGTTTCCTTGAAATTAATTACCTAATGTATGAACTATGATGTTTGTAAGGAAAAAAGATAAGAGGGGCCTCTCAAAGACCTTTCGTTATCTGTCAACGTTATTCCATTTCGGAATCATCAAATATTTTTGTAATTTCCTCTCATAAATACAGTTTTTAATTTAGACTTATTTTTACAATAGTGCAACTAGATGTAAATGACTAAATGACAGTAAACTAAATGTACTTTTTAAATTTTTGTATTGTTTGAGGTAACTTTTTGATTAAATTTTTGATAGTCGAATAGATCTGAAGTATAATGTGAAATAAAGAAATCAAACATACGGTAAATATTTCCTAATATCACTGTTAGGAGTGAAACTTGTTTCACAACTATTTTTATTACAACCGATAGTTTTTCTTGTATTTTCTTCTTAACCTTTTCCCCTTTACTGACGTAAATAGATAAGGAAATTTTGCCAGCTTTATAAAAAATATGCGTGATAGGACTCACGTAAACACAACCAGCTACAGATACATGTATTATATTCAATGTGCGAAGTT